AAAAGCACGCCAGGTTACGAGAACTTCTCAAATAAATGAAGTGCGATACTCGAAAAAATTAAAAGTTACATTCAAAGCATGGTACGCGACTTCATCTGCCTTGTGACTCTGCATCACCCGTTCAATAGCACCTTTGAAAAGACACTGGTAAGTCATTGCTCCCAAATATCCGCCTTCTTCAGCCATAGTCATATCAGGTTTGTTCTGGTTCTCTTGCTCACCTCTAAATTTAAAAAAGCATTATATAGTTAAACGTAGCAGTGAAAAAAACTTATCAAATACGAAAAAAACAAACAAAAAAAAAACATAAAACAGAAGCAGAAAAGTTGAAATAATAAACGATTTTCTAGAAGTGACGCTTGTAAATAAACGACTTAATGAAAATCGAATGCAATAACCAAATCATCGCATACAATACTATTTTGAGTATAGTAATCCGCCCGACAATATTCCCTATCTCTATTATGCAGCAATAAATTTGTGAAAACTGTTGTAAACCTTTACAAAAATTACGGCAACAAGGAAACCCACTAAGTTATTAAGTTCAAGAAAGATGGCTTCTGAAGCAATGCCAAAATAGGTATACACTCAATTGGCTTCTTAAACAACAAAGAAGAACAAATTACTTTACAGCTTTTTTGGTTTGTCTTATAGTATTTAGGACCTCGCTTTCATAATTCAGTACAATTCTAGCACTGAAGTTTCGAAATAAGCAGCATTCAGAAACAGTGGTCGTTTGTTTTGTTAAAAAAAATGTAAATGAAGGTTTCGAAATTAAAGGATTAAGCATTTGTGTACATCGGATACGCGTAGCAGATAAGAACCACTGAAACCAAATTGCTGTATCAAGATTACACTGGAAGACAGAACTTGAGTATTTTACGACAACAATGCTGTTAAAAACCACCAAGTAAAGAAAGAAATTGAAAAAAGCTTCCTAAAAAGGTGGGACTGCAACGATAAGAAAAAAACAGCATGCACCCTACCATAAAGTGCAGCTTAAAATTCTCTTTATGCAGACTGAATAGGCTAAAAGAAAGCAATTAAAAATGAACGATTAAATAAAAGGAGCAGCCATTAAAAAAAAAACGATGAATCACTTTTAATTTCTCAAAAACATACAAATTCGCAAAATACAACAAAAACAAAGCATTGTTAAGTTTCTTTCAGTATCAGAAACGAGATCGCAAAAAAAAGAACACCACAGTCCAGAACTGTCCTTCCAAGCAGAGACCTAACCGGTATTGTCCCACGTGGTTACCACAGCTCAACGTTCTTCATGAGAACTCCCTTGAGGACTTATGGGCCAAAAAACTTCTTCGTTGGCAGCAAGCCAATCGTGTTAGAAGTGCAGATCCGGAACAAATTGCTTGGAAGTTTTACCATTCAAAACTTGCGAACAAACTGCTTGGAAGTTTTACGATTCAAAACTTGCAACTTCTCATCGTCAAAGCAAGCTTTGCAAATCCGATCGACTGAGCTCAAAGCGTGCCTTCAATGAACTGTTTCTTTTTTTTTTGTATCACCTATGTTTCTGAGTGCTTGTTGTAGGGCATGCAGAGTTGCAAGATGCAACAGCTTCCTGATAATCGTCTCCTTAAACGGAATAACTGGTTCAGCGTATCGGTGTGTGTGTACCGGTCTCGTTTGCGTTAATGTTTTTAAAATGGCATTTTCAGAAAACAAATTACCTGCTCAGAAACCTCTTACTTCCGTCTATAGTTATTTTAATTCCAGCGGTCTAGATTTGCAGCAGTAAATTTTGTCAAAATGTACAACGACTATTTTTCAGTTTCTTTTTGCAAGTAAATATTGACCTGCAAAAGCAGGGTGGTGAGACGGACATTGTCCTACCTTTCCTAGTGACATTTACGTGAGTACTACATTAGGAGCAAAGAAAATATCAAAATTAAAATTATAGAATTACAATTTGGTAGCTGCTGCTTTTAACAGTGCTCTGTTCATGTAATATTTGGTTTAAAATTCAAATATTTTTGTACACTTATAAAAAAATTATGACTGCTATGGAGTGCTCAAAAAAAAAAAAAATTTCTGACGAAAATTATCGAATGCATTTCATATGAAAGCCAGAATGAAGTACTGTTCTATGAAAATCGAACACATATTCAGATAGAAATTTCTGCTTAAGAAAATCATAAATTGTATGAAGCCGAAAGTTCTTTTGTTGGTTCTTTTGATTATTAGTATAACACGCAGGCATACCTCTCTTTATCATTAGGCGATCGTTTACGTCGGAAACTGCTTATGATGGGCATTTTGTATTCAGCACTCACAAATGTCACCCCTATAAGTTGCCTAACTGAAAACGTTCCAGTCACTTTTTCTTTTGACTGTTTACACCATTAAAACGGACTCAAATGATTTGATGAACTGATTTAAAAAAAGAAGTGGGAAAGAAAGTCAACAGCGCTTTAGTATTTTAACCACTGGAATATCATTTTTGGACCTTTCAAAAGTCCCTGTTACATGTCTGATCAAATGAGAACGGCAAACAAATTTCTTTGAAATGACGCTCACCAGTTCTCAACGAAAACTTTGTCAAAAATTGGCTGCCAACTTGTCTGCACTCAAAAAATGCAACTGAAAATGTATTTCGCTTACTGCAGAAGGACGGTGAACGTCGAACGCAAATTTTTTGGATTCCGTAACACGAATACTAAACAAACTCGATACAAAACTCCTAACTTATAAATTTTGTATCTATAATGAAATGAAGAATGGGCTCTCTCTTAAAATGCGTAGGAGAACAACGAAAATATGCTGACCAATGCCATAACAGCAAAATTTTATCCTTCTTACTCCTCGTATTCTAGAAAGTCGTTACAACTCAGTGCAATTTTGGAAGCAAACCATTGTAACTGTTTTGAGGCTTACGAAAGCGAAGTTAGGGTACACTTCCAGACTTTCTTTATCTCTAGAGAGCAGTCACACAATCATTTACTGCAGACTTCCCTTTTCCCTTTCATTTTGAAGGACTAATACCGCCATCAAAGATTAATCGAGAGATGGTTGTGTAGAGATCTGCATATTTAATTTATATTTATGCAATGTTCAACTGGAAGATCGGTCTCGAACCAAATAACTCGCACAAATATCACCATCAAACGTATCAAAACAACGAAACTTTAAGTATCCCTAGGCATAAAATTTGTATTTTTTAGATCACTCAGACTAAAGAAATAGCAAAAAACAGGACATAATTTACGGGTGGAATAGACATCTTAGTATAAGGTTAAAAATCTTGAAAAATCCGGAGATCAAAATTTCCACTTACTTTTCATGGATTAGCTTCTTCACAGCAAAGAAGAGAAAACGACGGAAAGAATGCTAATTATGGTAGACTACTGATATTTTTCAAAACGATACAAGATGACCAGCTGTTAAAAAGATATGGGAAACAAAATACATAACAATCTCTTCGCTTGCGTCAACCAGCATGCGAAACAGACGTAACAATAACAACGATCTGAAGAGTGAAATTGCTTTAACGACTGAACATAATTCTGCTAAACCACAACAGGGAACATATTTAATCAATCCCACTAAAAAGAAAACAGTTATTGCAAAAACAGCCTTGAAATTAGTCACAACGGGAAAAACGTTTCTGGTACTGCGGTACACTACATTCCATATTTCAACGATAAGGAATTTACATAATCTTTACCTCGACAAATGGACAGGAGCTTTATAAAACATGCAAGACATCGTTTGAAAACAGAAACTGTGTTCCTTTATCATTCAAACTTATTGAAACGATAAAAAAAATTAATAACAAAATTTCTGGAAACCCGTCATAGATTATGAGTGTTTGAAGGAGAAACAAATAAATGAAAACGTGATTTTAAAAACGGCACATAATGTTTAGACAACGTTGGAAATAAAAAAGATCCTTACTTTAAAGCCTTGGCAAACTCTCAACAAGTCGGATGCTTAATTGGTTACTGGACAAAATAAACCTCTGTAGGACTCACTAAGATGTGCGTTCAGCTTGGAGGAAGGTACATCTAATGGCCGTAGAATTTATTAAATCAATAAGAAAATTTTCCTCAAACGATAATATTATTGAATTAAACTCACACCCACACATTCAACTAAATAACAAATAAAAATAATTTTTCTCGATTACATATAATGGCTCACTGATAAAAATAATAAAAGTACTGAAGACTAACATCTCAAATATTCTTTAAGAAACAAAAAAACCACCACTAGCACAATAAAAAACAAAAATACTTAGAGAAAGAGCTGTCACCAGACCTGCTGCAGTTGTTGATTACGGCTAAGAATAGATCGAACATCTGAAGCAAACCGTAAAGCATCTAAAAATGGAAGAAGAGCCAATAAACACGTATCTGTTGGGTCAGAGAACCATGACCGGATAGGAATTGCATTTTCTAAAAGTAATTCTCATTAGAGGGCAAATCAAGACTGAGAAACACCAGAAGCCCTCGTAACAAACTATCTGTTTAGCGTACTAATTAAAAACCAGAAACAAACCTTATTTAAAAAAAAA